TTTCTCAGCCTCAATTTCTGTCCTTGATAACAAAAATAATAGTTTCCTCTAGTATAGGGAGGGAATTTTTCACAAGGAAATGTCATCTCTTGTTTTTAAGAAAAAGAAAACACGTCAGAGCAATCTTTCTGCACCTGCTGTTTTTCAAGTGCCTTCAACTCAAAATAGTCATGACAAAGTGACTCACTGGAGTATGGTTATATGTTTTCTTTTGAAAAGTGTCTGTTCAAGACACTTTTCAAAAGAAGACATATATGAGGCCAACAAACATATGAAAAATGCTCATCATCACTGGCCATTAGAGAAATGCAAATCATAACCACATTGAGATACCACCTCACACCAGTTAGAATGGTGATCATTAAAAAATCTGGAGACGACAGATGCTGGAGAGGATGTGGAGAAATAACACTTTTACACTGTTGGTGGGAGTGTAAACTAGTTCAACCATTGTGGAAGACAGTGTGGCAATTCCTCAAGGATCTAGAAATAGAAATTCAATTTGAGCCAGCAATCCTATTACTGGATATATACCTAAAGAATTATAAATCATTCTATTATAAAGACACATGCACATGTATGTTCATAGCGGCACTGTTTACGATAGCAAAGAACCAACCCAAATGCCCATTGATGATAGACTGGACAGGGAAAATGTGGCACATATACACCGTGGAATACTATGCAGCCATAAAAAATGATGAGTTTGTGTCCTTTGTAGGGACATGGATGAATCTGGAAACTATCATTCTCAGCAAACTGACACAGGAACAGAAAATCAAATACTGCATGTTCTCACTCATAGGCAGGTGTTGAACAATGAGAACACATGGACACAGGGAGGGGAGCATCACACACTGGGGTCTGTTGTGGGGGGCCAAGGGAGGGACAGCAGAGGGTGGGAAGGTCAGGGAGGGATAACATGGGAGAAATGCCAGATGTAGGTGACGGGGGATGGAGGCAGCAAACCACATTGCCATGTGTGTACACATGCAACAGTCCTGCATGATCTGCACATGTACCCCAGAACCTTAAGTACAATTTAAAAAAAAGAAAAAGAAAAAAAAAAAAAAGAAAAATGTCTGTTCATATCCTTTGTCCACTTTTTAATGGGGTTAATTTGTCTTTTATTGTTGTTGAGCTGTTTGACTTCCTTGTAGATTCTGAACATTAGTCCCCTGTCAGATGCATAGTTTGCAAGTATTTTCTCCCATTCTGCAGGTGGTCTGTTTACTCTGTTGATTATTTCTTTTGCTGTGCAGGAGTTTTTTGGTTTAATTTAGTTCTGTTTGTCTATTTCTGTCTTGATTACCTGTGCTTTTGAGGTGTTAGTCATGAATTCTTTGCTTAGATCAATGTTGATATGGTTTGGATGTTTGCCCTCTCCAAACGTCATGTTGAAATGAGATCCCCAATGTTGGATGTAGGGCCCAGTGAGAAATGTTTGGGCGATGGGGGTGCATCCCTCATGAATGGCTTGGCGCCCTCCCTGCAGTAATGAGTCCACATGAGAGCTGGTTGTTTAGCATCCCTCTGTTCCCTCTCTTGCCATACGATACGCTGGCTCCCCTTCACCTTCCACCATGATTCCAAGCTTCCTGAGGCCTCACCAGAAGCAGAGGCTGGCACTATGTGTACAGCCTGCAGAACCATGGGTCAAATAAACCTCTTTTCCTTATAAATTACCCAGCCTCAGATTTTCGTTTATAGCAATGCAAATGGACTAACACAAATTTCCAGGGGAGTTTTTCCTCAATTTTCTTCTAGGATTTGTATAGTTTCAGGTCTTAAATTTAAGTCTTTAATCCATCTTGAGTTAATTTTTGTGTACAGCGAGAGATAGAGGTCCAGTTTCATTCTTCTCCATATAGCAACCCAATTTTCCTAGCACCATTTATTGAATAGGGTGTCTTTCCCCAGTGCATGTTTTTGTTAACTTTGTCAAAGGTCAGTTGGCTCTAAGCATGTGGCTTTATTTCCATTGATCTACGTCTGTTTTTACACCAGTACAATGTTGTTTTGGTTACTATAACATTTTAGTATAATTTGAAGTCAGGTAATGTAATGCCTTCAGCTTTGTTCTTTCTGCTTAGGATTCCTTTGGCTATTTGGGCCTTTTTTTTGGTTCTATATGAATTTTAGGATTTTTTTTCTAATTCTATGAAAAATGATGTTGGTATTTTGATAAGAATTGCATTGAATCTATAGACTGCTTTGGGCAGCATGGTCATTTTAACAATATTGATTCTTCCAATTCATGATCATGGGATGTTTTTCCATTTATTTGTGTCATCTAAAATTTCTTTCTTCAGTGTTTTATAGCTTTTCTTGTAGACATATTTTACATCCTAAGTTACAGATGATCTTTGGTATCATCAGAGACTACTATAAACAACTATGAATCCACAAACAAGAAAACCTTGAGAAAACGGATAAATTCCTGAAATATAAACTCTCCCAATTGTTCCAGGAACAAGTAGAAATGCTGAATAAACCAATAATGGTAGTGAGATTGAATCACACAATCTCTCAATCAACAACAAAAGGCTCAGGACCAGTTAATTCACAGCTGAATTTCACCAAACATACAAAGAAGAACTAGTACCAGTCTTCCTGAAACTCTTCTGAAAAAATCAAGGAGGAAGGAATCCTCCGTAATTCATTCTACAAAGCAAGTATCACCTGTATATCAAAGCTAGACAAGGACACACAAAAAAGAAAACTACAGACTAATATCCATGGGGAAAATGAATGCAAAAATTATCCATAAAATACTAGCAAACTGAATCCAACAGCACATCAAAAAGATAATACACAATGATCAAGTAGGCATTTTTCAGGGGATGCAAGGTTAGTTAAATATACACAAATCAATAAATGTGATTCACCACATAAACAGAATTTAAAACAAAACCTTACAATCATCTCAATAGATACAGAAAAAGCAACTGATAAAATTCCACATCCCTTCATGATAAAAATGCTGAACAAACTAGGCATAGAAGGAATATACCTAAATATAATAAAAGCCACATCTGACAAACCCATAGCCAACGTAATACTGAATGCAGGAAAGCTGAACGCATTCACCCTAAGAACTAGAGAATGACAAGGATGACCACTTTCATCACTCCTATTCAACATGGTACTGGAGGTCTTACCCAGAACAATCAGGGAAATGCAATAAATAAAAGGCATCCAAATTTGAAAAAGGAAGTCAAAGTATCTTTGTTTGCTGATGATATGATCTAATACCTAGAATACCTTAAAGATTCCTCCAAAAGATGCCTAGGTTTGATCAATGAATTAAGTCAAGTTTCATGATGCAAAATTAATGTATGAAAATCAGTAGCATTTCTACACACTAATAACAAGCTGAGAACCAAATCAAGACCTCAATCCCATTTATAATAGCTACAAAAATTTTGATGATTTTAGACTTATGAAATTGCTTATGATTAAAACCAACAATCATACTGGAACAAAGCGTAGTGGATAAGAGCATGTACTCCAGAGTCATTTCAGACCTAGGTGGGAATTCCACTCTTTCCACTTAATAGAATTAATTAAAATACAGGAGATATGAGTAGCATTTTTTGAGCAGCTGCTTTGTATGAGGCACCATGGCTAGTGTGCTTTACTTAGGTTGCCTCATTAATTGAGAGTTTTGGAGTTTTTGAGGGTATTGTTTCTATTAGGATTACTCTCTTTAAGGAAATCGGCAGCAGAAATAGTTGTGTTATAGTTTACACTCCTGATTATCCTTTAATGCAGTTTTACCTAGGACATGGGACAAGTGCAAAATTGCCTAATGCATATAGGCAGGAGTTCCCAGGAGACCTGTGAGTCAGGCTGAAATGTACTACATTCCAGCAAGAGAGCTTAATCCCTGGGAAAGAGAGGTCCTCAGTTCCCCTAGGATCCAGCCAGAGTTGGCTGGAGAACAGGCTGCACAATGACACTGAGGTCGGCCCTAATGAGCACGTTGGGAGATAGCGTTCTATAAGCCTTTATAACCTTGAGAAATAATCCTGTCTTATGCCTGGGGAAGCTGAAATCGGGTCATACACTCCAGGTGTTTCTAATGAACTCTGGACTCAATAGACCCTGACTTCATTGCCTGTGAGTCAAAGGTCTCAGAGTTTTTTATTAGGAATTTTCCATCCATGGGAGAGAATTGGAGAATTTGAAGACACCTAGAACTGATCCATAATCTGACAGGTGAGGATTTGGAAGGGGTAGGACAGACGGACACACACACACACACACCCACACCCACCCACCCACCCTACCTTCCTTCCCAGTCTGATGACCAGGTGATCAGGCAGCAGTTTCCTGGGAAAGTGCTGAGTCTTTACCTAAGGTCAGAAACTTCTCTATGAACCAAAGAACAAACGGAGGACTAAAATAGTCACTAAAGCTTCTAAGGCCAAACTTCTACAAGATCAATATGAGGTGGCTTCTCCTACCAGCTCACTAGGGCAGCAGAAAAACAGACCGGTTATGTTCAAGCCAAAAAGCCAGAGTGATACCTTTCACCTTCCTTCCCTCTGGTTAAAAGTAAATATTAGAGAAATGCAGTACAAATGTAGGGGTTAAGGTGCAGGTGAACTAAAATGACAGTTCCCAGAGCAGATATAGATGCATAGCAGCAAAAAAAAAAAAAAAAAAAAAAAGGGAAGAGGACAGGGATAAAGGAGAGGAAGTGATGGAGGGGAGAGGATGCCTCCCCTGTCCTGTTTGTGTGTGTCTGTGGGGAGAGGGAACATCCTAACAGTGGGTGGGAGAGTATGAAACCACAAGACAACTACTGTCCTTAACTCACATGTCCTATGCTGCTAGTTAGGAAAGAGTACAGGACTGGTTTGGATGGGTAAGGTCAAATTCTAGGGACTGAAAGACAAGTGGAGGAGGGGAGGCTATGTTGTCTTAAAAGTCAATTTCAGTCCCCATAAAGAAGGTTCGTGTGTGTGTGTGTGTGTGTGTGTGTGTGTGTGTTGGAGGAGGGGGAAGAGTTTGATGGAGATCATGCACCTTCTTTCCAATTGACACCTTCTAATCTTGCCATCAAGCTATTCTCAATTCTCACTTCCTCTAAATAGCCCATGCTGATTTCTCTGGTCAAATGAATCTTTTCTTTGGATTCTGCTATAGCATAGAGAGTACAATTGAGATTTGAATGGATATTATCTTAAATGTTCTTTAAACGTTTCTTGGGTATTTCCTTGCATTCCCAATGAGATTCAGAGATTCTTATTGGCAAAGACCATTTATTTTTCTTTTTTTTTCTCCCAGCACAGTTCTGGTCACATAGATGCATATCTGTAAATTGATCTAATAAATAAATACTGACACATGGAAGGTTTTATCTGCACAGATAACAAGAACTACAAGGGATGGGAAAACCAAGCAGAGTGAACCAAACCACTGTTTCAGACTTCCTCCTTCTAGGACTCTCTGAGCGGCCAGAGGAGCAGCCTCTTCTGTTTGGCATCTTCCTTGGCATGTACCTAGTCACCATGGTGGGAAATCTGCTCATCATCCTGGCTATCAGCTCTGACCCACACCTTCATACTCCCATGTACTTCTTTCTGGCCAACCTATCATTAACTGATGCCTGTTTCACTACTGCCTCAATCCCCAAAATGCTGGCCAACATTCATACTCAGAGTCAGACCATCTCCTATTCTGGGTGTCTTACACAGCTATATTTCCTCCTTATGTTTGGTGGCCTTGACAACTGCCTGCTGGCTGTGATGGCATATGACCGCTATGTGGCCATCTGCCAGCCACTCCATTATAGCACAGCTGTGAGTCCCCAGCTCTGTGCACTAATGCTGGGTGTGTGCTGGACGCTAACCAACTGTCCTGCCCTGATGCACACACTGCTGCTGACCCGCGTGGGTTTCTGTGCCCAGAGGTCCATCCCCCATTTCTACTGTGATCCCAGTGCTCTCCTGAAGCTTGCCTGTACAGATACCCATGTAAACGAGCTGATGATCATCACCATGGGCTTGCTGTTCCTCACTGTTCCCCTCCTGCTGATCATCTTCTCCTATGTCTGCATTTCCTGGGCTGTGTTTGGCATCTCATCTCCTGGAGGGCGACGGAAGGCCTTCTCTACCTGTGGCTCTCATCTCACAGTGGTTCTGCTTTTCTACGGGTCTCTTATGGGTGTGTATTTACTTCCTCCATCAACTTACTCTACAGAGAGGACAAGAAGGGCTGCTGTTCTCTACATGGTGATTATTCCCATGCTAAACCCATTCATTTATAGCTTAAGGAACAGAGACATGAAGGAGGCTTTGTGTAAACTTTTCGGCAGTGGGAAGACATTACTTTCATGATTAGATATCTAGATGGTGATGTCTAATCTTGATCAACCCCTACCTGTTTTCCATCACTTCAGTAATTCTACTACTGGCATATTGATATTAGGAGAAGGTTATCAGTTGACTCTGAGTTAGGGATGCAACAAAAAGAATGTTTCATTCTTTTATTAGGCTGTGGAATGAGATGCTCTGCCTCAGCCTCTTTCCTAACCCCAGTGAGGCAACCATTACTAACAGAAAAACCACTATTCCCCCTCACATCTCTAAAACCAGCATATCAGCTATAGTGAACAGGGCATTTGTTATGAGGCTCTGGAGCCGAGTGATTCTACCCCAGTGAGGCAGGCATGGGATGAGGTAAAGGAATGAGAACACAAACATTTATTGAGTATCCACAATGTTCCTCATTATTCCTCATATCAGTTACTTGAGGTAGAATAGTGAAAACTGGGAATTAGGATGTTAAATAACTTAATGAGTCAGTTTGATTCCAGTATCTACCCCCTTCTATTTTACCACTTTGTGAAGATTATGACAAGGAAGGTGTGAGACCATATCTAAGGTTAATATTAAATGATAACAATAGGAGAAAAAGAAATTAATATATGTTATGGTATTCCCTATTTCATTTCTTTAACTCAAAAGCACTCTTCTGTTGTAATTAATAGATGAAACATAATCAATATGTGTTGTACACCTACTAGTGCCAGTTTTGTACTCACTCTCCATTCTCTGAATTCTTTCATAAAATATTCTAGAATAAAAATGATAAATCAAGCATGCTGGAAATTTTTAGGGCAATAATTTGATGCATAAACTTCAGAATAATTTTGTTGATATCCACAAAGTAATTTGCCAGTGTTTTGATTAAGGCTATGTTGAATCTATCGATCAAGTTGGGAAGAATGGCACCACAATAATATTGAGTTTTCCTATGCATGAACATGGAATATCTCTCCATTTATTTAGTTATTATTTGATTTCTTCTTTCAGAGCTCTGCAGTTTTTCTCGTATCAATTTTGTATATAGATTTATATCTAACAAATTTGGGGCTGCTAGTGTAAATGGTATTGTGTTTTTAATTTCAAATTCCATTTGTTCATTGCTACTACATAAGGGAGCAATTGGCTTTTGTATCTTAACTCTGTATCCTGAAACCTTTCTATAATTTCTTACTAGTTCCAGGAGAGATTTTTGGATATTTTGGATTTTCTGTAAAAATCATGTCATCTGAAAACAAAGACAGTTTTATTTATTCCTTCTGAGTCTGTATACCTTTAATTTCATTTTCCTGTCTTATGCCCTACTAGGACTTTCAGTATGATATTCAAATGCAGTAATGAAAGGGGACATTTTTTTGTCTTGTTCCTGATCTTAGTGCAAAGCTTTTAGTTTCTCATCAAGTATGATGTTAACTGTAGTTTTAAAACTAGATTTTTTAAAATTTCTCTATTCCTAGTTTTCTCAGAGTGTTTAATCATAAATGGGTGTTGGATTTTGTCAAGTGCTTTTTCTGTATCTATTTATATTATCATGTAGTTGTTCTTTAGCCTATTGATGTGATAAATTAAATTAATTGATTTTCAAGTGTTGGAGTAACCTTGCATTCCTGAGATAAATCCCACTTGGGTATGATACATAAGTCTTTTTATACATTATTGGTTTCTATTTGCTAGTACTGTATTAAGGATTTTTACATCCATATTCATGAGAGATATTGGTCTGTAGTTTTCTTTTCTTGCAATTACTTTATTCACTTTTGTTATTAGAGTATTATTGGCCTCATAGAAGTAGCTAGAAAGTATTTACTCTATTTCCATCTTCTAGAAAAGATTGCAGAGAATTGTCACAAATTCTTCCTTAAATGTTTGATAGAATTCACCAGTGGGCCCATCTGGGCCTGGTACATTCTGTTTGGGAAGGTTACTAATTATTGAGTTAATTTCTTCAATAGAAATAGGCCTATTAAAGCCCATTTCTTCTTGTATGGGTTTTAGCAGATTGTGGCTTTCCCAATATTGGTCTATTTCATTTAAGTTATATTTGTGGACACAGATTTGTTCATACTATTCCTTTATTATCCTTTCAGTGCCCATGGGACTTTTAGTGATGTTTTTCTTTTCATTTCTGATATTAGTAACTTGTGTCTTCTTTCTTTTATTTTCTGTAGTTAGACTTTTTAATGATATCAATTTTATGGATCTTTTCAAAGAACTAGCTTTTTGTTTTGTTGATTTTCTTTAACAATGTCCTATTTTCAATTTCATTGATTCTGTCTTAATTTTTATTATTAATTTTTTTCTTGTGCTTACTTTGGATTTAGTTTCCTAGGGCGGAAGCTTAGATTATTTATTTTGGATTTTTTTTTTTTTTTTTGAAAAAGAAGGCTAAATTCAAGTGGTGTTTTACCTCTCACCTTTTGGATAGGTTGAGGGTTTTTACTTCTCTATAAACCATAGCTCAGTTTCTTTCTTTTTTTTTTCCTGTTTAACAAATGTTTTCTGGGCTGAAGTGGCTTTGAGTCCTGAACCTGTCTATCTGAGTTTATACTTTCTGCAGTTAGAAGTTTTCTAAGTAATTCCTTATTATTTTATGTTTGTGATGCCTTCAAATACATATTTAAAATATTTCATCTGAGTTTTATTAGTTTTCCCATTGGGAAGGTTGGTCAAATTTTTAGGTTTGCCATTACAGAAAACTTTATAATAGATGGATATATATGCACTCTAAGAATCTTTGTTTGTTTTTCATACAAATTTGTCTTTTAAGATTCATGCAATTGTTAATATATTTGTAATTGATTTTGACGTTCCATTTCCTTTTTCTTTTTTTGTATATATCATGCTTTAAGAATTTTTTATTTTAATTTTCTCTTCTTTGTTTCATTCTTTCCCTTATAATGTGGAAGTTTCATATCTTTTTTTTTTTTTTTTTTTTTGAGACGGAGTTTCGCTCTTGTTACCCAGGCTGGAGTGCAATGGCGCAATCTCGGCTCACCGCAACCTCCGCCTCCTAGGTTCAGGCAATTCTCCTGCCTCAGCCTCCTGAGTAGCTGGGACTACAGACACGCGCCACCATGCCCAGCTAATTTTTTGTAGTTTTAGTAGAGACGGGGTTTCACTATGTTGACCAGGATGGTCTCGATCTCTTGACCTTGTGATCCACCCGCCTCGGCCTCCCAAAGTGCTGGGATTACAGGCTTGAGCCACCGCACCCGGCCCAGTTTCATATCTTTTTTAAAGTTTTATTTTATCTTTAAGTGGCACATAATGATTGTACATGTTTATAAGGTACAGTGTGATACTTCGATACGTGTATACATTGCATAATAATCAAACCAGGATAATTAGCATATCCATCATCTCAAACATCTGTTATTTCTTTGAGTTAAGAACATTCACAATCCTCTCTGGCTATGTTGAAGTTACAATACATTATTGTTAACTATACTCACACTTTTGTACAATAGAATACCAGAGCTTGTTAATTCTAAGTATAACATAGATCTGTTGACTAACCTGTCCCTGTTCCCACTCCTCCTAAATCTTCACCTTCTAATAATCACTATTTTACTCTCTCCTTCTATGAAATCAACTTTTATTGTTGTTGTTTGTAAACATAATTTTTATTTTTATTTTATTTTTTAGTTTACTTTAAGTTCCAGGATACATGTGAAGAATATGCAGGTTGTTACACAGGTGTATGTGTGCCATAATGGTTTGCTGCACCTATCAACTGGCCATCTAGGTTTTAAGCCCCACATACTTTAGATATTTGTCCTAATGCTCTCCCTCCCCTTGTCCCCCACCCCCTGACTGTATCTGAGGCCCCTGCGTGTGATGTTCTCCTCCCTGTGTCCATACATTCTCATTGTTCAACTCCCACTTACAAGTGAGAACAGGCAGTGTTCAGTTTTCTGTTCCTGTGTTCATTTTCTGAGAATGATGGTTTCCAGCTTCAACCATGTCCCTGCAAAGAACATGAACTCATTCTTCTTTATGGCTGCATAGTATTCCATGGTGTATATGTGCCATGTTTTCTTTATCCAGTCTATCATTGAGGGGCACTAAAACACCAAAAGCAATCGCAACAAAAGCCAAAATTGGCAAATGAGATCTAATTAAACTAAAGAGCTCTGCACAGCAAAAGAAACTATCACCAGAGTGAACAGGCAACATACAGAATGGGAGAACATTTTTGCACTCTACTCATCTGACAAAAGTCTAATATCCAGAATCTACAAACAACATGATTTAAAAACATTTTTTTTGAGAGAGGGTCTCACTCTGTCACCAAGGCTGGAGTGCAACGGTGCAAACACAACTCACCGTAGCCTCAACTTCCTAGGCTCAAGCAATCCTCCTACCTCAGCTTCCCTAGTAGCTGGCACCACAGATGTGCACCACCATGCCCAGCAAATTCCTTTTTATAGCTGCATAGTATTCCATGGAGTATATGTATTGTGTTTTCTTTATCCAGTTTATTATTGATGGGCATTTGGGTTGATTCCATGTGTTTGCTATTGTAAATGGTGCTGCAATAAACATACGTGTGTGCATGTCTTACAGTAGAATGATTTATATTCTTTGGGCATATACCCAGTAATGGGATTGCTAGGTCAAATGGTATTTCTGCTTCTAGATCCTTGAGGAATTGGCACACTATCTGCCACAATGATTGAACTAATTTACATTCCCACTAACAGTGTAAAAGCATTCCTATTTCTCCACAGCCTCACCAGCATCTATTGTTTTTTGACTTTTTAATCGCCATTCTGACAGGTGTGAAATGGTATCTCATTGTGATTTAGATTTGAACTTCTCTAATGATCAGTGATATTGACCTTTTTTTCCCCATATGTTTGTTAGTTGCATAAATGTCTTCTTTTGAGAAATGTCTGTTCATATCCTTTGCCAACTTTTTGATGAGGTTGTTTGTAGTTTTCTTGTAAATTTGTTTAAGTTCCTTGTAGATTCTGTATATTAGACCTTTGTCAGATGGGTGGATTGCAAAAACCTTCTGTTCAGTAGGTGGACTGTTCACTCTGATGATAATTCCTTTTGCTATGCAGAAGCTTTTTGTTTAATTAGATCTCATTTGTTCACTTTAGTTTTTGTTGCAATTGCTTTTGGCGTTTTCATCATGAAATATTTTCCCATGCCTATGTCCTGAAATTGCCTTGGTTTTCTCCTAGGGTTTTTATGGTTGTGGATTTTACATTTAAGTCTTTAATCCATCTTGAGTTAATTTTTGTATAAGGTGTAAGAAAGGGGTCCAGTTTCAGTTTTGTACATATAGCTAATCAGTTTTCCCAGCATCATTTATTAAATAGGGAATCCTTTTCCCATTGCTTGTTTTGTCAGATCAGATGGTTGTAGATGTGTGGTGTTATTTCTGAGGCCTCTGTTCTGTCTCATTGTCTAAATGTCTGCTTTGGTACCTGTAGCATGCTGTTTTGGTTACTGTAGCCTTGTAGTATAGTTTGAAGTCAGGTAGCATGATGCCTCCAGTTTTGTTCTTTTTGCTTAGGATTGTCCTGGCTATACAGACTCTTTTTTGGCTCCGTATGAAATTTAAAGTAGTTTTTTTTTTTCTAATTATGTTAAGAATGTCAATGGTAGTTTGATGGGAATAGTGTTGAATCTACAAATTACTTTGGGCAGTATGGCCATTTTCACAATATTGATTCCTCCTATCCATGAGGATGCAATGTTTTTCCATTTGTTCATAACCTCTCTTAGTTCCTTAAGCAGTGGTTTGTGATTCTTCTTGAAGCAGTCCTTCACATCCCTTGTTAGCTGTATTC